GAGTCGCACTCTACATTTTAAGAAACGTTTGTGTATAGAACTCGCAACAGCGTAGCTAAAATATTTTTACAACTTTATTTTTATGGTGTTAAATATTCCAGAATTTTTTATGGCGGATTAAAAATCCAATTTCATTGTCAAATAATGCAATTAGTAATCTAGCTAAGTTTTAATATAACATGTAGGATACAAGACTATATGTATTATAGGGCATTCCAAAAATGAAAATATGGATTTTTATTTTCTCATGCATTTTCAGCAAACCTATGCAATGTTACGGTGAAAATTATCAGCCTGAAGACATACCTGCCTTTATGGAATTTGAAAATTTTTAAATAAGACAAAGATTTTTTAAAATGAGATTGTAAGCTACTCCAGATTTGCATTACATAAATGACACATCATATTTCAACAGAGTGTATTTTTAAAGATTATTACACATACTGTGGGGTTCTACCCTCTTATCTAACAACTAAATGTGGAGGAATCTAGTGAACAGTTAAGAGAATAACCCCTTTAGTTCAGTAACAGAAACATAAATTCGAGAAGGGTTAATTGCCCTTTGTTGCTCAAAATAAGAGTGAACAGTTGGCTCCTTTCTTAAGTCGTACAGCTTGGGCTTGAACTCAAAATAATAAGAAATAAGATTTAACTAATGCTTAACTAAAGAGATATAGCCGAAGTTATCAAATTTCTAAGTAGTCGTCCCCTAAATATCGAATTAGCTGGTGAAACTATCAAAGCCTGAGCGTAGTAACAACTTAGAGCGACGTAGTCAAAAGGCTAACGCGCGCTAGTCAGAAACTCTAAGGCTTTCTCTTGAAGTCAGTGGCACTTCGACTTAAATATTCATGACATGGATCATTTCGTGGACAAAGTCAAGGGACTGCGCAATGCCTAGTGTAGCGGTGATTTTTGGCGCAAAAATCGCTGCTACAAAAAGCCAAAATAACAAGTCAAAGAACGGTATCCATGTTTCCCCAAAAATCGTCAATTATGGAGCCCGTAAATATATTTTTACCAAAATATTTACGCAATTTTGATATTATTTTTTTACAAACATAATTTTATATTTACGTTTTTGATCATGTTTTATCTCTTAGAGGCAACTATTCTATCTGAGTTGTTTCATATTGTTCAAATTGTTTCAGTTGTATTCTCAATTTTGTAAAACTCCTGGTAGTTTTTTAATCAGCACCGTTCAGTTCAAGAGTTTTCTTTTCAGAATTTACAACTCTTTTCAAATTTACAACCGTACTTACATTACTGAGATTATCAATCCAATCTGTGTTATTGCCTATTAATAACACAGATTTGATTAAGGTTTCTTCTGCCTCACTTTCATTGTCAGTTTCTGTAATTCTTTTAACACATTCATAATCAGATATTATACACTTTGCCTCAATACGTTTTTGAATGACACATATAAAAATGAATTTTTCATAACTTCCCTTTCTGATCTCTCAAACATTAGCTACAGCTTGTAATTCCTCTAAGGTTTCCTTCACATTAAAGCAACATTTTCGTAAACAGTTTTCAGCAGATTTTAAGAAATTAAACACTGAATTCACTATAATGTGCATGGCCTCTAGCAGAGATATTAACTTACTTATTTCATTCGAAGTGCATTTTCACAAAATTTAGCTTTGTTCATCATTTTCAGAACATCTTTTCTGTAATAACATTTGAAATCTTTTATAATACCCTAGCCTAAAACCTGAATGGTAGAAATTGCATTCGAAAGAAGCCCCACTAATGTTTTTCAGAAAGAGGTGACAGGTGTGTGTGTGCTGAACAATAATGTAATCAGTAAAATTATTTTTTAGTTTTTCAGTTTGCTGTCTGTCAAGAAAGTTTAAATGAAATTCATTAAAAATAGATATTACTTGCCCTCCATGAGTTTTTGTTTCTATGTTATTTTAAAGATACATTGACTTCTTTAAAACATCGAGGTTTTCTGTTTTTGTCAATAGCCAGTGCTGTCGTCTTAATTTTTTAGTCCATATTGCCTATTAATAACACAGTAATTTGTTTCTTCAACTTCTTAAACTAGTTTATGTTTCACTTTTAAATATTAACGTGTGTTCTGGTAATGTTCTGTAACGCAGTCCAATTTTGTGTGTATTATAAATTTCACGTGGCTTGTATTCATTTACCAACTCAAGTAAAATGTCTTTTATTCAGTTAACAGTTGCATGATGATGATGCACCTCTTGCTTCTCCCAACGCAGTTTCTGATGAACCCCAGTGTTCAATGTTTCTTTCTCCAACTTATGGGCCATCTGTCAGTTGATACAAAATTCTCTCCTAGCATTTAACGAATTTATATAAAAGGCTCTAGAAATATAAAATATTTTAGTTTTATAACTGTAAGCCATTCTAGAAAAGCAATTTTCATTTTTACCGATTTTCTACCTTTTTTTTATGCCCTTCCATGAAATATTTGCATTTTTCATTGTTCTTCATTTATTATGATTCCTATTTTAATAAAAATCCACAGTGCTGTTTGCGAAACTCCCAATTTCAGTGTAGTTTTTCCTCTGGCTGGAATTTCCAAGAAGATTATAATATTTTAAGAATTTAACTATTTCTTTTAGACTTAATTCTTTTCGCTATGCATTTTTGACATGTTACAATCTAGAGCACATCATATTTAAAAAATGCTTCTTTCAGTGATTTATTTCTTCAAATTAAAAAAAAATCAAGTTTCTAGCCATAAAAAAGATTGTCCTTTGTCTGTGTCGTTGATCTGCCATTTCTTGATTGCACGCATAACCAAATGCTTTCTTTGCTTTTCTTCAGCGTGCATTAATCATTTCGTTTCACTTCAAACACTGATAATGTACGGTAATATTAAGAAGCATTGTGTTCCTTTTTTTTAGAACTATCTGTTAACGTTATGCATCTATCCCAAAGGGAAAATTTTGAATATGGAAACTTTAAAAGATGGGTTGTCTAAGGGTATGCCCTTCTATTTTTATTAGCTGGTATTCGAGAACGAACCCCTACTCATTTACAATGCCTCAAGAGGATTCTCTTTGTCAATCTTAAGTAAGGAATTTCTTCCCCTTTGAAGTCCAGAGAGAACAAATAATTTATAGAAAGAAATATTTAACAAGTACAGGGATCGGGTTAGTAGAATCGCTCAAACCCATTTTGTTGAAACTTTATACACCTGAACGATAGCTACGGTCCACAATATGTTAAACGGATGAATTATGAAAATTTTGACAGGCACGAATAAGGATATTCTGGCAAGTCTTTTGTTAATCTCTGTTTTATAAGCGACAGTTTGGTTTAGTTTATTTTAATTACGCCTTATAGACACGTGGACACCACACGTCATCCTTGGTTCGCCCATTTTTGTTGCATTTCGTTTAGATCTATTTCCTGGAATTTTTTAGAGATATATTTCTCATTCAATTAATTGAGTTCTTACGTCGCAGAAGAGCAAAAGTACATAAAAATTCACAACATCTTCATTGAAATTTGTAAAATAAAAAAATCTGAAAGGTTTCAGATTTTAAATTACGTCCAAAGGGGCATTTTTTAACATTTTGTCTGTGACCTTTATTTCTTAAATATCACGTTCTTCGCACTTAAACCATAAAATTCCGTTCAAGAGCAATATCTCAAAATAGTTTTAAATTGAGCATATCCTTTGGAATTTCTGATAAACAGTCTCACTCGCTGGAGATAAAATAATTTTTTCTCTACAACGCTGCCATGGCTCGCTTTGAAATCCTTGACTTTGTTAATCAAAAATTTGTTAAAGATTTACAAAGTATGAAATTGATAACAAAACAAATTCCAAATTTCAAATTTGGGCTTCCACATGCCCATATTCGCAGTAGGATTACGTCAATCAAAACTCGATGGCTCTATGTACCGTTGTTTTATCACAATGCGAGAAATATACATACATTTATTCAGACTTTTCATTATTTAATTTCTTCAAATATAATGCAGGACTCTTAAGATTTGGCGGCAACAGTTTGAAAAGTGACACGGACATTTATAGTGAACCAACGCAAAATCGCAAAACGAAAACAATAGTCCTTGAGGGCCAAAGCCCTTTGGACTAATAAAAACACTAAATACAGTTAAAACAGTTAAAAAACAATTTTCACAATTAAAATTACAGTTTCTACGCAAAAACTAGGAATTTGGCCATCGGGCAAAAAGACAGAGTTTTGGGTTCTAGAACTGAAAGTTTACTTTTGGTCCCTTTCGGCACAAAGACATTGAACGTGCAGAAACTAACTTAATTCACGATTCTGAGTTTCAGATGTAAACAAATGGCCGTTTGTAAGGCTTAACTCGCCACTTAAACTTTCAGTTGCTGAAAATTCTACAATTGCATGCGGATTAACTAAAGGAATAAAAACCTTAATAGGGACATAGAAAAGACATAATTCAATCACTTTTAAAGCAAAATATGCACAATTTACCAGCATGTAAGAATAAAAAACTAACCTTACAGAAGCAGGTAACAGAGTGAGAATATACATATATATTTATATACTACTGGTGCAGTCGACTGCAACGAAAATGTGAGGTGCACAAGTACATGTTATAGCAGTCCCACATACAAATTTCAACGTTCTATGGCTACTGTTCTTGAGTTATGCAAGATACATACGTACATACGTACAGTCATCGAGAAAATATCTCTTCTGAATTCAATTTAAATCCATTTTACAATCCTTTCTGGCAAAACAGTGCTTTATTTTGTTCGTACCTACAGATTTCCCGCAAAAACATCTTCCGTATGATTTCGAGAGCAGATGAAATGGATATTTTCGTTGAAATATGATACCCGAATAATTTAAAATACTTCCTTTACTTCGTATGAGGAAGTAAAAATAATAGTTTTATTTTATCATCAAAATGAGAAGCACTAATTGCAGTAGTTAAACACAGATCTTAGTCTTCCTTCTAATATTAATTTATTTAATAATTATTAGGCCCTTGAGATTAACTAATTGCTTCAATTTCAGTGTGTAGACTACTCCAGAAAGGTGTGGCTGCTATTTTCGGACCACAAGATCACTTAACTAGTCTCCACGTCAGATCTATCTGTGATGAAGTGGAAGTGCCTCACATTGAGATGAGATGGGACTACAAATATTCGAGGGACGATTTATCCATCAACCTTTACCCAAGCTCTGAAGTCCTCAGTGAGTCTTATGTTGCGATGATTAAAACTTTGGGATGGCAGAATTTCACTCTTATCTATGAGGATAAAGAAGGTAAGCACTAATTTAATTAAAGTATCTAGAAATATATCTGCGCAATTATCAATATTAGTACATCAAAATGATAGATCATTTCAACCAAAATAAAAGCACTATTAAAATTTAGCAAGTTTTCTTGGTAACAAATTTATTATTTTAATTTAAAGATTATAAAAATTATTAAATAATAGTAAAATGTAAATTAATGATTAAGATGCAATGTTTCAAACGTCTGGTTAAGAGTTCCGACTAACCAGTTTACATTTCAAGAGCATCAGATTATTTATGAAGGTTATTGAAATAACTTAGTTTCAGGAAAAATAATAAGATGTTTCATATACTGTTCATTTAAAATATCTCACTAAATTCTTATTGTCTTTGAAGACAATTAAGAATTTTGTCAAAGAATTTGGTGATAATTTTATAGTATGAATGCAATTAATTTTTTAAATTGTTATGTTATTAAGGTACATATATTGTGTCTAATTATGAAATGGCTTTATAATTATGCAAACGTTGACTTCCTGTATAAGGTAAAATCCGTTCAGACAAAAACAAATCTAATTTTCTAGTCTGAAAAACGAATTTACGTATCGTCTTTAATACAATGTCAGTCATTGATCGATTGCAATAGAAAATAATGACAACTAAGACTTATTGTGCCTTCAACTTGTGTATGAAGTTCAAAATAACAAACACAAATTTACTCCCATTTTCTAGGTCGAGCAATAGCAAACACACTCATTCAGTCGGGTGATCTAAGCTAAGCAGGTCTAAGCAGCGGCCGAGCGGTAAAGTCGCTGAACGCTGGTAGTTAAGTGCAGGTTACAATCCTGGTGAACGGCCATGGTCGTTTTCGGGGTCTTCCCTATGTATAACATGTATACGAAACAGTTTCCTTTAGACAGTCCTTAACGAAGGCATCCATCGCTTTAAGCTGATAGCCCTCAAGTATTGTGCCGTAATCAAATAAATTAAACCATACCATGGCGGATCCACCTCCATGCTTGGCAGTTGGAAGGACACATTCACGATCATACGCTTGTGCAGGTTTCCGTGCACGTAGGGAAAAGTGTGAAAGATGGTTATGACCATATAAATGTCTTCCACTTATAACGTTGCGCGCCTCCAACTTGCACGCAACCAAGAGGTGACTGTGAAAACTTGTATAAAAGATAGAGCCTTGTGAAGGGTTTAAGTCCCTTTTTATTCAACGTAATAAATTACAATTGCGTTCTCTTGACGCTTACAGACCCTGCCAACTCGGCAGTCAAATAAAAATAATAACCTGAAAAGAAAGTAAAGACAAGATTCTAACTACGAGGCTCTCTAAAATAACTAACTCACCGCGTTTTACAATACCGCTGCTAATTCAGCAGACTTGAAGCTCACTGGAACGATTAACACTACTTCCCGCCAAGCACATAGGCCGCAACGCGGGGTTCTTCAATTCTCGCTAACTACCTCCGCGCTCGCTAAGTAAGAAATCTCTCACCCGAACTTGTTTCCTTCTATTTAAATCAGAATACTTCCGCTGATAATTTGAATCCTTGCGCGTTCTACTCAAATTTACATATTCTGGCATTGGCAGTTCCAGGGGAAAGTAAGGCTTGACAGGAAAGATAGTTTAAACTTAAAATAAATGTTAGTTAAAATAAATATAAACCCTACATTTGCCGCTGCCAGAATTTGGAAAACTTGGAAGCAGGTCCTACAAACGACCTGTTGTAAGTTTCTCTAATTCTGAACTAACTGGCGAGAACCTCGTTTACACAAAAAAAAATCTTATGTAACAATTATATACTAAAATTCTGTTGCTCGTTACAAAGCTCTTCTTCTTACAGCAACTTTTCCTGGACTTCATCAATCAATCTTGGTCTTTCCTTCCAGCATCTGGAAGGAATAAGTATCAGTATCTTTCTACATACATTATAATTTACACTTTCTTGACACAATAAATTTTTGTTTTTAAACGATTCGTTTTTCTTAGTTATTGCTTACTTCACATTCATTCAATTTTTCAAGCATTAATTTAACTTTACCCTGGCTCTCCACCGTGTGTGTGGTGTCAAACGGGAATATTCGTGTTTTAGTCTTACAACACTTCCCTAACCACCACCATGATTTGTTAGAATTCAACGAACCAAATAGACACACCTTACTCGACATTCTACAACTCAATGAGCTACTTTAATATTCTTAAAAATTCAAATGTAGGTGGAGAACCCTACAAAACACATTCATTCTAACTTCCCCCTCATTCATCTTTAAACATGCAGGCTTTCGCTCTAAAGCATGACTTTACAGTTTAATACTTAAATTTTGACTTCATTGCTTTTAAGCATTCACTTTTAGCATCTACAATTTTATGCTTCTAGACTAAATTCTACTTTTACATAACCATTCAAGTATTTACATACATTTACAAAATTTTAATACATATGCTTTTTTACAATTTACCATAAAATGAATAAGAGAAAATAAATTTTTACTTTACTCATTCTTCGCCAAGCTGGCGGCACTGAAACTAAAATTCTTATTAATACAAGAATACGAAGTTATTTTTATCTTCGGCCAAATTTTGGCTTTAACATAACAGAATTAGTCTTTCGACCAACAGAAAATGCTTGTTTTTAGCTTTTACACTTAAAGAAAATAATACTTTTGCCTTAGCTAAATAAAGTAAAACAAAACTAAGTCTCAACCGAGACATATTGACTTTCGTCAAAACATAGAACTTCGTACTTATGCATAACATTTCGGAACAAAAGAGAAAAAAAATTATAGAAGGTTTTAACTTATCTTTGAGTTTTCGATGCTTGAAACTCCGTCATCCGTTTTTGGCAAAATTGATCCCAAGTTAGAGGTTTCATGGATGTCAATCTTCTCCTTATTGATCTCCGAGTGTCGTCCACGTTGCTTTTTTTTCTTTTGCGTCCTCTACATGCTGGCCTCTTGACGGAGTAATCGTCTGGTTGTTGGCCTTTCCGTTTTCTTCTGCCTGGGACGGCTGGTCTTGACGTCCTCCGGTCTGGAGTCCTTCTTGAATTTCTTCTGTTCCTCGTATTTTTGTGCCTCCTGTTGGCGTTTCAGTTTCCGGAACGGCGGCCTTGCTGGCACCTGACTCTGTGGCCGTGTGCGCGTTCTCCTTGATGTGTAATTTCTCCTGCATCCTTTGTAGGTGGTGTTTTCTCTTTTACCACGGTTTCTTTACCCGGTTCATCTGTATTTTTGTTTTTCTTAAACGCTGGAGTTTGAAAATTATTTTTTCTTTTTGATACCGACGTCGGGGTTGTAGAAGTGCTAGGTCTCTCTTCAGTTCTCTGTTTCTTGGGTGGTGGAATAGTTGTTGTAGTCTCTGGCCTTCTATTCGTTTAGACTTGAGTCCTGCAAGAAACTTTTAAGGATTTCAAAATCATTTGGATTATAGTATTTTTTCACCTGGTCGGGACTTGCTTTACAGATTTCCCCCCTCTCTCGTTCTTAAGATATAAGACTACTCCTTTGATTTCCTGAATTACATAGGGGCCTTCAAACTTTGGAGCTAGCTTTGCCATAAAATTGTCTGGGGCACTTGATAAAGAAAATTTCCGCTTCAATACTTTATCCCCAACTTTAAAATCTGCTTCACGGCGTTTTCTATCGTAATATAGTTTCTGCCTATTTCTTCTTTTCTTGCCGTATCCGAGGTTTTTAAGCGCCTGATCAATCAACTTTTGCACATCTTTTGTTTAAACTCCTGCTCTCTTTGTTGCACAAAGAATAATTTATCTAAAGGCGTAATTAACTTTCTGCCTAAAAATAATTCTGCTGGAGTTTTTCCCGTAGTATCATGATGTGCCGTTCTTAAAGCATAAGCTAATTCATTTATGTAGCCATCCCAGCGCTTGTGATGTGTGCTCACGTAACTGCGAATTATTTTTACTATGTTTTTATTAACTCTTTCTGCTATGTTAGCCTGTGGTCTATACGGAACCATTTTGATATGGCGTATGCCAAGTCCATTGCATATGTTTTCAAATATTTGACTAATGAATTGTTTTCCGTTATCGCTAATGACTTTTATCGGTGCACCGTATTTTAAAATGTATCTGTGTAAGAATGCATCTGCGACTGTTTTGGCTGACGCGCGTTTAAGTGGAACAATTTCTATCCATTTTGAAAAATGATCTACTATTACTAAAAGAAAACGATTTTTATTTAACTCGCTCTGGGGGAAGGGACCAAGAAGATCTATGCCTAAAATTTCATTCGGAAATGTAGCGCGAATGCTATTTAAGTACCCGGCCGGGCTGTAATTAATATCATTTATTAACTGACATTGATTGCAGGACCTGACATACGCCGTTACTATTTTGTATAATTGCGGGAAATATACCGCCTCGCGTACCCTTTTTATAGTCTTTCTGACCCCGAGGTGGCCCGCTGTTTTTTCTTCGTGCAACTCCTTCAAAATGCTTAATCGAAGCGAGGCTGGGATGACTGGCTTATACTCAAGATTTTCGTTTGTTGTTTTCGTATAGAATAATAAATTATCTATTATTTCATAGTTTTTTGCTCTATTTCTTATCGCATCGATATCTGTGTGCTCAAAGCTTTCGGGGTCTTTCAAATAAGCATAGATATTTCCAAATTCAGGATCAGCTTTCAGTTCAGTAATAACCGTATCTCTAGAATCTAAAATTTTTGAAGTCAACACAGCGCATTTAAGTTCATTTCCTTCATCGTCCAGTTTTATACGAGAAAGTGCGTCAGCTACATTGTTTTCCTTACCCGGTTTATATTTTATTGTGATATTATATTCTTGGAGTTTTAAAGCCCATCTTATTAACCTGGGCGTTAGGTTTTTCCCCGAGTAAAGTCTACCAACAGCCGCATGATCCGAAAAGACTGTTACTGGCGATTTGCCGAAATAAACTCGAAATTTGTGTACAGCCATTAATACGGCTAATGTTTCTCTTTCTGTAGCTGTATAATTCCTTTGTGTCTGATTCAATGTTTTACTAAAAAATGCC